ACACGGAGGGCACAATAAGACAACACCAAAATAAAACATACAACTCATACCAATCTACATCATCAATCAACCCAAAGACAAAGGATATCTACTCAAAACATCATAGGATGTCAACACATCATTGGAACATAATATGTGGCATAAAGCACCATGTTCAAGTAGGGATTACAGAGGGGTGCGGGAGAGTGGACCGCGTAAAAGAGGTGAGGATGGTGATGTTGATGAAGACGATCACCGCGGCGATGATTCCTCTCCCGATGGCACTCCGGTGCCACCGAGAGAGAGGAGGAGAGGTTCTCCCCCTTGTGCTTCCTCCTCCATGGCCTCCCCCCTGGATGGGGAGAGGTTCTCCCTCTAGTCCTTGGCCTTCATGGTGATGATGGCCCCTCCGGGATCCTCCTCCATAGCCTCCGGTGATGATGGCCCCCTCCGGCAGGGTGCCATAGAGGGCCTAGATTGATTTATCATGGCTACAGAGGCTTGCAACGGCGGAACTTCCAATCTAGGTTATTTTCTGGAGGTTTGGGAATTTATAGGAGAGGTTGGCATCGAGAACAAGTCAGGGGGGCCCACGGGAAGTCCACGAGGCATAGGGGCACGCCCAGGAGGGGAGGGGTGGGCGCGCGCCTCACCCTCGTGGGGCCCATGGGACTCCCTTCTGGTAGATTTTTGTTCCAGTATTTTTATATTTTCCAGAAAAATTCTTCGTTGATTTTCATCGCATTCCGAGAACTTTTATTTCTACACAAAAACAACACCACGATAGTTCTGCTGAAAACAGCGTCAGTCCGGGTTAGTTCTAATCAAATCATACCAAAATCATATAAAACTATTGTAAACATGACATGAATACTTCATAAATTATAGATACGTTGGAGACGTATAAATGTCTTGCGTCCCGCACTCGCACATGCCGACCTCACCTCTGGAGCCCACAAGGGACCTCGAGCCTCCTCCTCTCTTTAGCCATCCCTTGGCATCTGCCATGCGCCCACCACGACAGCCTTGACAAGCCATTTGAGCATGTCCCTATGGTTGATAGGAAGAGGAAGAGGGGTGTCCTGATGAAGGAGGAGATCAGTGTCTTCACCAGTATGACTGAGGCCGTGAAGGAGGTGGCAACCGCCACTAGGGAGAGCAAGTCTGTCGACGTCCACCCTGACCTTTAAAACATAGTCATGGAGCAAGGTGGCTTCAATGATGAGGCTCTCGTGGCAGCTCTGAGCCACCTGCTGGACAACAAGGTCCAGGGTGTTGGATTTGTTGCCATGGCAGACGCACACATGGTGCTCTGGCTCAGGAGTTGACTGGGCAAGCACTACTACTAGAGCTTGATGTTGGTTACCGCGTGCATGATCCTCGATGGCGATGGCGATGGCGACAAGGATGACGATGACGATGACGACGCATATTTTGTGTAGCTAGGGATTGAAAACAATTTGATGGTCTGTATATTTTTGGTGAGGTGGTATATACTAACCACAGTGATCCTCAGGGTGATCACGAACTTGCGGTGGTAGGACGACACTCTCTTTTGGATGTGGTGGTGGTACGATGACACCATAGTAGTGCTAGGTTGAACTTGCTATGCCATATGCTCATGCATGCTTACCAGTTCTCTACTGCTACATTGCTTGTTGTTTGTGTGCTCCATTGCTTGCTGCTTGATTGCTCAATTGCTTGCTACTTCAACTGTTGCTCTTTGTGCACTGCCAGGACAAGTGTTATGTGGCGCCGGGAGGGCATCATGGGCTTACAGTTCATGGGAAGCTTGCAACCAACAAGTTTCAGAGTACAACGACAGCAACCATAGAGGGTTTAAGACTAGGCAGGCGGCTGAAGATGCTTACGCCAAGTTTGTGCGAAAGCAGGCATGCAAGGTTGAAGTTGGCAAGGCGGCGGCACAATTTGGGGTGAAGACTTTGATCATCATCACGTAGTTCATCGCCATTGCAGTGTTGTGGTGTTGGTGTGATAGCTGTGATCATGTGTAAGGTAACCTCACCACATAGGATACAAGGTTAGCACACCTCGCACCCTGTGTGAAACCAAACTGCGTGCTTGTGTGTGAGATGAGACAATGCAGGCAACCAAACAACGTGCGCAAAGCTATCCCTTAATGCAGACAAGCAAGATGCAGGCAACCAAACAGGTGTTCGTTTTTAGTCTGTTTCTACTAAGTCATGCTTCATTGAGCCAGGCCTCATTAAGCTAGGCTGGGGTGGAATGGCAACCAAACATGCCTTATAATTCTGATCTAGGGCTTTGACCGGCTAGTTGAGCGGGTCAAGGTTAAGGCTGAGTCGTGGCACAATTCTGGAAATCTCCCCAGATAATTAATCATGATATCCGTGTGCGTACGTCCATTGGTGATGGAGATGGTACTCTCTTTTGTCTTGATCCATGGCGCATAAGGAACTCGTTTAGCATCGATTTTTCACATCTCTTCGCGCTTTGCTCCGATCCGCTGCTATTAGTAGCCTCGGTTGTTCGTGATGAGAATTGGAACATCTCATTTCGACTAACATTCGGACTCAAGGAAACTTTATCTTTGATTGAGTTGCGGCATGCCCTTTCATCTTTGCTGTCGGACGCCTGGACACCGTGTTTTCGCACCTTGCCCCTTGGGAGCTCGTCTCCGTCTGGTCAGGTTATTGTGCTCTGTGTCATGTGCCTACCCTTGTTTCGTCCCCACATCTACGAAAAGTGCCGATGCCATTGAAAATCAAGAACTTTGTCCGGCAATTGCTTCCTGGTTACCTCTCGTCGGGGATGAAGGTGGCAAAGCGACATCGACCTCAAAATGGTATTTGTCCTCTTTGCGGGATCCCCGAGCCAGGGACCTGTATCTGCTTCTCCTATCCCGCCGTACAGTTCTTGTGGAGTGTTGTCCGTGAGGCTCTAGGGCCTGAAAGTCATGCCTCGACGAACTTTGGCGAATTTTTATCTGCCGACACTCATCATACTGGTAGGAGGAGGCACCTCTTCTGGTTGGTGTTCGCAATGATGGCCTGGATCCTTTGGGCTATGCGTAACGAGCCGGCTATCAGGAGGGTTTTTTATGGTGTGTTTCTGACTCTATGTTCAAAATTTTGGCATTTTGCAAGTAGTGGCGGGAAAAGGGACTAGCTAGGAGTCATGTTGTACTCCTCCATTGATGCCTCTTGTATCGGTTTACTTTTAGCTTTTGGAAATGTCTTCTGTCATTGCCGTAACAGACCTATTTATTTCATTCTTTCGTACTTGGATCTTTGGTTGTATGGATGTGATGGTTCCTTTATATATATAAAGCAGGAAGAAATCATGTTCAAAAATAAAAAAAATGAATAATATACACTCCGAATTAGCCATTTTCACCTTTGGAAATAGTCTTTTCCATTGCATCTTTTAAATATGCAAAATTTGCATGTATCAAATTAACCCAAGTTTCTTTTGTGGGTCTATATTTTCTTTTGAAACAATTTTTTGCCGGACTTTTTGCGAAACAAATTGAGGGTATATATCATGTAGTCAGCACTGGATGTGGTGTGCCTTTTTCTAGAAAAAGTTATTATGCTATAAGCATGTGAGACGAACACCATGACACCTATTATTGGTGCGCACCAAAAAGTAGCCCAACTAATTGATGGGATCCATTAGCGTCACGCACAAGATTAACGCCGCCGATCGATCTCCATCCACATAGACCCTACATGTCGATCTCGGATCTATATCTCGTGTAGCAATTAGATGGCAAGTCACTGTGCTAGAAAAGTTAACGCAAGCAAGTGCTAGAAAAAAAAAGGAGTAAATTATTGCCGGTGTCCTAGCTAGTCGTTGCAATATTCTACAATTTACCCTGTTTAACAACAAAATCTTGTTGAAAAACAATCAACAAGATTTGTTGTACATTCTGAAAGCTTGGACCCACTTGTCAGATTCATGCTACAGTTGATTAGAACGCCTGATAATTCAAAGTAAATCATAAGAATTTTAGATATTGGGGGAGAAAAGTTCATGTCCCACATATCTTAACTCACAATTGAGCAATGCATATTGCACAATTTTGATACTCCCTCTGATCCATATTAATTGTCGCTGATTTAGCACAACACTTTTATTAAAAAAATGCTACCTTAAATTACATTTTTACTATAGATTCAAAACTCAAGCAAATAAGAAATTTACAGTATAATTTAGATCACCGTTGGAAAGAGCTCTCGAGCAATTGCCACTTAATTTGGAGTTAATTAAAATGTTTGACAATTATGTGTGTTAGCTGCTGATCAGCTATGCATTAGGAAGAATGAACAAAACACAAATGCTTAGCTATAGCAATAGATGGGCTGTTGTTTCTCTTGCAAAATATAAATTGTACAATCATTTACACCACAACACCAAATGGCCTCGACAACGGACTTATGGCCATCGGTTCCTTTTTCTGTTTTTCGATTCTATAGAAAATTTGGGATTCTAGGAATGCTCAGGTCCTCCAGCACGACACTCACTCTTTGGCCTCTACCATTAGGAACATTGTTGCCGATTTCTCTCTTTGGACTTATAGACTAAAGAATCCAGGTCGTTGCCATGTCATGGTGGATTTAATACTACGTACCTCTTCTCACGCTCAAACATGCAACTGCCATCCATACATGGCCACCTTTGAGTATAGATCCTCTCCCCAGGTGATTATTAAAAAAAACTATTTGAAGAAATTTTCAATATTATTTGCTGTAACATTGCACTACATTTTGTTTGTTTTTTCATCTTTTTGGCACTCCCTTTTAAGGTTTTTTTTTGTAGAACTTGGGAGAAACTGAAAACAACACTATATAGATGTCCGGCCGGCGCCTAGTCGGCAATGGAACAACTACTTGTTTATTATCATCAATTGCACGCTCGGTACAATCAGGTACACTCATTAACCAAGTACCCACCACTACTAAAAGGGGAGAAGAGAAAGAGAGGAAAATAATAACAATAATAACAATAATAACAAGGAAAAGGACAGAGCTAGGTAGCTAGAGCTTGAGGTTAAGGTCGACCTTCCTCGTCTGTTGCTGCTTCTTGTCGCCGTCCTGGTCGCGCCACCAGCTGCCCCCCGGCGAGCCGCCGTCGGCGACGTGGGGGTACCCCTGGTGCTGGCAGGAGTGGGAGACCTGGATGGGGTACATCGTCTGGTGGTTGCTGGGAGCGGCTGAGTTGGTGTTGATGGGGGTGGTGTAGAGGTGCGCGTTCCAGCCGATGTTCCTCTCCTTCTTGTGCGCGTTCTGGTGCCCGCCTAGCGCCTGCGACTTGAGGAACTTCTTGTTGCAGAAGAGGCAGGGGAACAGCCTCACGCCACCACGACCACCATTGCCACTGCGACTGCCATTGCCACCGCCGGATGAAGCAGCCGGAGGAGACGACGGTGACGCCGGCCACGGCGTGTGAGCGAGCGTCAGCGACAGGTCGACGGCGTCCATATCCTCGTCGTCGTCCGTGAAGGCGGGAGGTGGCGGAGCCGCCATTCTTTAGAGAACAAAGGAGATCGAATGCTTTTGATTCAGACTCTGGCTCTCTTGGTGCCAATTCTGTAAATCAAGCCTTTACTACTACTAAGTAGCTGCTGGTGAGGTGAGCTCTGCTTGGGTGTGTGTGTGTGTTTATAGGACGGGGCATAAAAGGGAAGCGGACCACGTCCTAAATCTGGGAGAGTTGCATTATTGCCGGGGTGGGTCACCATGGCTGTAGCTGCGGAGGAAGACGACATCCAAGTTGGGTGCCTACTACTGCTGCCCTCACCCTGAAGGAACTGAACCAACATAATTGCTACAGAGATCACATATATAGTTGGTACCTAGTACGTACTAGTGATCAATATCATATAGTCTATGTGTTCGTTGTTGTAGCTTTTGGAATATGACCATCCTTATCTATGAAAAAATGGGTTATGGTTTCATATTATTGACTACAAGGAATGCAACAGACAGAACAAAATGTTTTGGTAGGTCCTAGCATCGGCCATCGAGGCAGATACCCTAGAGCCACCCCCCCCCCCCTCCCCGCCCCCTTTATTTTGTGGCATTGATGAAGGAAACGGTGAGGCCCTCGACACTCCACGGCTTGCAGGGAGGGCTTTGAAAACTGAAGCGGCGGAGAGGGAGGAGAGGGTCGTGTCCGATGGCGGGCGGTGTGTGCTAGTGTTGCGCTGATAGCAATAGGCGTGAGTCACAGCGTGCAAGGCCCCCCACTATTTTTCGGCGGCAGATCGATGCAGTCCCCGACCTAGACTTCTAGCCCCATCCTACACGTTATGAATTCTAGTGACTTCTTACTTACTAGCAGGGCTGGTCCTGACATTTTGGGGGTCCGGGGCGAAAGTAAAACCTGGGGCCTTTTATTATAAACCTAAAAAATGAGTTTTTTCCTCGGCTCTTGAATATCCGAAAAATATATGTATGTTTAGGTAAATTAACAAGCATAACTTGGATTCTCCTCTTAATTTGAACTCCAAAGCACTCATATACAAATTTCTAGGCTATAAATCTCGATCGACTTTACCAAATCAAGAAACCAAGCAAATCAGGATGTTCAACCGAAAGTTATCTACCTATTTCATGTTGTAATCAAAAGGTGGTTATGCCTGCAAATAGACTAGTTCTTGCGAAATAGAAATCTGCTAAAATTTGAAGAAAAAAATCTACTAAACTTTGAAAGTACTTGTACAACAACACTGTCCTAATGATACCTCAACAAACACTACCCGTTACGGATTCTAGTGACTTCTTACTTACTGACAGAGACAAAGCTAGAGAAAAAGTTTGATGAGGTCATATCAAGTGGGGTTGTCTTGTATAAATCAATAGTTATTAGTACTAAGTGAGTGAAGGATTTCCTAACTACATTGGGGTTAACTGACCCCCAATGCCAACAATGTAGCTCCGGGCCTGTTTGCTGGATCTGGATGTTGGTTCAGTGGGATAGGTTTCAGAACTTTCGACCGGGAGACTTCATTTGCGGGTCGAGGTGTACTCCTAGGGAAATGCCAAGCAGTAGCGCTAGTTTTTGGGCTAGCAGTAGCGCGGGGGACCACGCTACTGCTACGACGCTACAAGTAAAGGGTAGCAATACCATTGGTTCACCCGCGCTACTGCTATACCTACTTAGTAGTAGCGCTTTATTAAGACCGCGCTATTGGTAGTTACTAGCAGTGCTGCTCTACCCGTGCTACTACTATTATTACGTATTTTATTTATTTTTTATTTTATGTCGTATTCATAGATCATTATACAAGTTTTCATACAGTAGCAATTTAGAGATTGTTATTACATCATAATAAGTTATTATGTCATTAGGTGAAAGAACCGTGGATTAGTTTCAAGTGGATGGATCCAAAGT